AAAAAAAAAAAAAAGAATCTTGGATTTGCAGCTTAGGGGAAAGCCCAGTGACTAAACTGGTGTGTTCTGTGGGCTGTGAACCACCCAGCTGCTTTCATGTGCTGACTTCACAGTAACAGGGTGATTGCAAAATTTCAGAGACTAGATTCAAAGGATCGTGAGTAGACAGGCTTCACCGCTTCCAAGCTTTGATTTCCTATTCTCACGACTGTTTGTCTTGGCACGTTAAAAGGCTGAGCTTCTGTGTGCATCATTTTCAGGTGTACGTTTTTGTCAGTCATTTTTTTATTCTGGAAGAAGCTCATTTAAATATCATTTCTGATATCACCAGAAGTATAGACTTAATATTTTGAATGAAAATGAACGAAGTTACAAGGATAACAGTGAAGAAAATATTGCATAGAGGCAGGGAGGCATTTAGTGATAGAGCCCAGTCAGAATTTCAGTAGAAACTTATTTTTAAAACATGAGAGCTACATATTTCCCCATGTATAAGATGCACCCTTTTTTGAAAAATTTGGGGTCCAAAAACTGGGTGCGTCTTATACAGAGGTTGTAGATTATTTTTACTTGCATTTCCTGCTTTTTCGCACTTGTTGTCTTTGCGCTCATTGTTTCGCATTTGTTACTGGTATATTAGGTTACGTTTTGCCACGGTCTGCCCAGAAATGGCTCAGAAAAGATTTTCGAACAGTGCTGAATTCAAGTTAACAGTGATCCAGTTTGCAAAAGTGAATGGAAATCGTGCTGCTGAACGTAAGTTTGGTCCTCCTCCAGCTGAGAAAACAATCCGAGACTGGCTATGGTTGGGAGTTTTGACAGTGATGAGGAGTTGTGTGAATTTTATGATGAATAAAACTTGAGTTCATTAACTTTATGTAATACATTTTTTTTCAAATTTCGGGCCCCCAAATTAAGGTGCATCTGATACATGGGAGCGTCTTATACATGGTGAAATACGACATGTAGTAGTAATGCCAGTCTTGCCATTTTCAGTTGAGACTCTGAGCTGAGGGTTTTGCTCACAGCTGTCAGCTGTGTGAAGGCATTTTCAGGTGAGCGTCTGTTAAGGTGACTGGTCTTGTGCTTGGTTTTAGTGGCTCTTTTCCCACCCCCACCCCCTCTTCACCCTGCCAGTAACCTGACTGAGTTTTATGTCAACAGTTTATCCCTTGTTTTAGCTGCAGCTATTTTGACAGGTGACATACAATACGGTGAACTATTTGAATAATGTGTAAGAAAGTGATTGAGACGCACTCCCGAGTATTAAATGGTGGTTGTGTTCTGAATTGCAGCCGTTCTTGCTTCTCACTTTTCCTAATCTTTGTTATTACTGCTGAGGCGTCATAGCGGTTTGGAGGCTCAGTCGTGCTAGTAAAGCGCAGACCTTACAGGAGAATTCTTTTCTGAAATGACTGCTTTGTTGTAGGCCTGCTGATTCGCTATTATCCTCTGTGTTTCATATATAAAAGATTTAATTCTGATGTTTAATTCCTGCTGCCAAGATAATATTCACCAAAGCGAAATATTTAGTGTTGGTTTCTGAGTGTTGGGGCTGAAGAAAAAAACACACACTTAAACATTTTCATTTCCGTCGCTTTTTTAAAGACCTTCTAGAAGGGGGTACTCTTTTCTGGAATCAGCGTCACAGCTACAGTTTTATGAGTAGTAATAGCCTGATAGCAATAGTTAATTCTGTTATCCGCCGCACCTCACCGGTCCGCTTTCTTTAGCTTTTGAGTTTGAATTGCCTGTTCGTCTGCAGAGCTGGGCTGAGTATATCTTAGTTATGGAAGAACTGTCTCCTCCCCGCTCCCTCATCTTCCCCACCCCCCCACTCCCCAACGTCGCCCCCAGGAGCAGCTACAAAAGGCTGTGCGCTGAGGGGAGACGGACACAGACACGGGGTTCGCGGGTGGCTCCCTGAGCTGAGGTCCCAGCCCTGTGACACCGGCGGTGTGTGTGTCCCGATCAACAGGCTAGTGGCAGTGTGCTTGCCCTGGGGGGCTGCAGCGGGCGCGAGCGGGGAGCTGCTTCCTTTCCTGCGCTGCGGGGACTGGTGCCAAACCGGGGCCCTTCGGGAGGGAGCGTGGGGAGCGCGGTGAGGGGTGCACGTCCGCGATACCCTCGGTTCCTCGACCGCTGGAGCGACGAGCCAAAACTCCGAGGCTGGGCATGGAGGTCCTGGGGGACCCGAAACCCGTCGCCCCCGCTGCGGCGGCGGCCTGGACAGAAGGCAGGACGCACTCGCTAGGCGGTGCATCTGAGAAGTGGGCCTCGGAGGGTGGTGTTACTGGAGCACGGGGTATTTTACATATTTATTGAGGTCTAATGGACACACGTTACACTGCACATTTTAAAATATTTTATTGTATTTATTATTGTTTTTTAAAGATTTTTATTGGGGAATTGGGGGATGGGAACAATGTTGTGGAATTGGAGAAGGGGACCAGCAAACTTGTTCTTCAGTCTTCCTTGTGGAGGGCGCAGCTAGCTCAGTTCCAAGTCCAGTCGCGCTGCTCAGCTCAGCTCAAGGTGCTGAGTTCAGTCTTAGTTGCAGGTGGGCGTAGCCCACCATCAACAGGCAATCTTGTTGTTACACCAGCAGAGCCATCCTGCCACCTGTTGGCAGCTCAGCAACAGCTCAGCTCGGGCACAGCATCAGTGGCCCATGTGGGAATCGAACCGGTGGCCCTGTTGCTCAGAGCTCGCGCTCTTAAGCCAACTCTTAACCAACTGAACCACTCGGCAGGCCCAATATACTGCAGAATTTTAAGCGTGCAGTTTGGTTTCTGACACATGTACACTTGTGAAATCATCAGCCCCAAAGGTGTCCCCTCGGGTACCCTCATCCGCAGGCCACCAATGAGCTGTCTCCCTGGAGATTCATTTGCAAAGCTTTAGAAAACACTTAAAAGTCTTTTGAAATATGATATAAATGGAAACAAGGTTCTTAAGTGTTTATCTGTGTTAGGTTGATAAGTTCTAGGACTGTAAAACACTTTTATTAAATCTGATTATTTGCTCAGAAGTGGTAACACAATTTGCCTTTGAATAAATGGTTTGGGGAGAAACCAATCTGATGTTTAAACGTTTTTAACATTGCTGTCTTTAGTTTTGTTTGCTTTTGAAAACTGTTCATTCAGTATTCAATTTGAACATAAATTCGGCTTCATATTGTTTCTAGTGAAGTTACTCTTGAAATGGAAAAAATTTAAAGCACTAGGAAGAGAGTATGTTAAAGCTGTTTAAAAGTGAGTTTAGGGCCAGCCGAGTGGCGCGATGGTTAAGAACTCGCTTGGGATGCTAGAGGGCCCCAGTTCGGATCCCACATATGAGGGCCAGTGGCACTGCCCTCCGCAGCTGAGATGCTGAACAACAGCTCGACCTGGAGCTCCCGTGAGTCGCCGGCAACGGCATAGGCAGCAGCCCCTGTGGCAGTGGGTTGCCATGGGCTACCGTATGTAGCCAGCAGCCAGCATGAGCGGCTGGCAGCCGCAGTGAGCAGCCGTCCAGAGGCCGGCGACTGATCTGCCTCTCCGGGGAAGAGCGCAATGATGGTGCCAACTTGGGCCAGTGAAGCAACGTCCTCCACAAACTAGACTGAAGAACAAAACAACAGCAACTTGTTTGTTCCTCTTCCCCCAATTCCCCAGCACTGTTCCCATCCCCACAATTTCCCAATAAAAATCTTTTTTTTAAAAAGTGAGTTTGAATGTCCCCAGAAACCCAGCGGTGTAGGAAATGTGCCCCTAAGCTTTCCCAGTGAGCTGACTTCTGAAATTTCAAATCCATTTTCAAAACCACTAAGTCAAATATAGTACATAAGACAGTGAGTGCAGCGGGGAAGCGCTGTTTCCAGGAGCTAAGACAGGACCGAGGGTGACTCCTCCTCAGAGCAAGCTCTTCCCATCTTCTCCTGGGTGCAGCGTTATCAGAAAATAACCTACCCTGGTCCTTAGCGCGCTCATGAAGCAGCGTGCACATTTTTATAGCTTTATTGCGGTGAGATTGGTTAATAAAATTACATAGGTTTCATGTGCACACTTCTCTAATACATCATGTGTGTACTGCACTGTGTGCTCACCACCCCGAGGGGATCCTTCCCTCAGCATATATTTGACCCCTTTACCATTTTATGTCCCCCTCCCCCGTTTCCCTCTGGTAACTGGTAACCACTTAACTGTTGTTTGTGTCTATGACTTTTTCTGTTTTTCTTATTTGCTGCTTTCTGTTTTACATCCCACATAAGAATAAAGTCACATAGATGGTCTCGCTAGGCCGGAGCGTGGATGTCACCTCGGTAGCAGGTGCGGCTGACCCAGCTGCGGCTCAGGGAGGAGCTGGCGGAGAAGCGGGGAGGTCGCTGAAAGGCCCAGGAGGAGCAGCGCCACCACCCCGCTCTGCGCACACGTCTCTCCGCGCCCAGCTCCCCCCCACCCGGACGCCTCCTGCCCAAGCTCCACGGAGGCAGCTTCCGGGCCAACGGGTAGCGCGGGACCACGGACGGCCAGGCAGCGCCCTGGGCCGCGCCGCGCGCTCGCAGGATATAGTAGGTCCCGCAGACCGCGTCTCTGAGGATCCGGGTTCCTGGTAGTGTGAGTGGAGCCCACCATCCTCCCGCTGCGGCGAGGGACTTGCTCATGGCCGTATGTCTTACGAAAGCTCCTGAAAAGGGCAGATGTAGACAGAAGTCTTCCCGCTGAGAAGCGAGCTGGCTTTGGAGAAAGCGCTGAGGAATCTGTTTGCTTTTGTTTAACAACAGAAAATACGACCATACCATACGTGAAGCGTTTATACCCCCATTTAATGTCCTGTTGTAACTAACAGTGTACGTGGGTTTACACCAGTCTTTCTGGTGACACTTGGAGCTTCTTGCCTCGTGGACATGAGTGACCTGAGGCCGACACAGGAGGAGAAGCCCAAGCTTGGCAGAGCCTCCTGGAGGCTGCAGGGTCCTCCCAGAGTCATGAAATCTCATGATGCTTTTGCTGGAAAATTTAAAACCATTAATGGCAACGTGGGACCCGCCACTTCTTTAAATGCCTCAAATTCCAACCCCTACTGTGCTCACGATGGTGTGACAGCGAGAGTCTGAGTGGCTTCCTAGAAAGGACAGCTCCAAGGAGCTGACCTGCAGGCGCTGTGGGAAACCCCATCTCAGACCAGTTACAAAAGTGTCCCCTCCACGGTGCACAAAGGACAAAACTTCCAGGGAGGCACTGCCGAGACCACAGCCTCTGCCTTCCCGGAGTTAGACCCAGACCCTGGCGTGGCCTCACTTCACTTACAGTTTCTTGCAAGACATGCAAATAACTCCTCTCCTTTTGTTCCTTTCCAGGTTCCTCTCAACCTGTTGTTTACAGTCGTGGGTCACACATGACATTCCAGCAAACTACGGGCTGCGTTTGCAATGGCGTTCCCATATTATGAAGGAAAACCCACCTATCACCTCGTCATGCTGTACTGTCATAACGGTGTGTCCGGCCTCTTTCACTCAGAATCATGTGTTCGAGGTTCGTCCGTGTTGTAGCGTGTCAGGCCTCACCCCTTCTGTTGGCTCAACTGTGTACACAGACCCCATTTTTCCCTCCATTTATCAGGCGATGGGCGCTTTGGTTTCCACTTTTCGACTATTGCGTGTAGTGCTGCTGTGACATTTCGGGTACAAGTTTCCATGTGGATACTAATGTATGTTTTCACTTTTGATCGAATGTTTTTATTGATTTCAATTGTACGTATAGGACAGTTTTTGTAAGTATCTTTACCCCAATATGCCAACCCCTTTTCTACCCAGCACGTGTCAGAAAATGCCAAAACCAAGGGAACCCAAATTCCCATACTGGATAGTAATTAAATTTTAAAGACTTTCTTTATAGAGTTGGGGTTTTTTTGAAGAGTTGGGATAATTGTTCTGTTAAAAATGAAAATTCAGCTCAAACCTGAATTTTGCATCTGTGTAAAGAGCATTAATTTAGAAACTGAAACTGAAAATCACATGCATGCACGCACGCACGCACGCAGGCACACGAGTTCTGCTTCAGCCAGAAGGCCCGACCTCCAGTACCGGGAAGTGACAAGTTCAGAACCACTGACTCTATGATTTTGCGGCCGGTCCTCATGCTTAACCTTTCCTGTTCAAAGCTGCCCCAGGCCTGATTTCCTCCCCGCACTTGTCTGCAGCCGATCCACATTTCCCCTTTTTCTGAGAATCCACGTTCCTCCGCGCTTGTCAGTGTGTCCAGCCCGGGACAGCGCCGCGCAGGCCCCCGCAGACGCCCGCAAGTCCCCTCCTCCACCAGGGTGGCCTCTCCGCACCTGCATTAGCGCAGCTCGGTGGCGCGCACGTTTAGTTCCGGTCGCTCCTCCCTCGCCGCCTTTCAGTGGAGCGTCGCGGCCATGTCGGTGTGGCTGCCGCTGCTGCTGCTTGTCCCGGCCTCGGTGAGTCGGGTGTGTCCGCAGGGGTCGCCCGGGCAGCGCCGGGAGCCCGGGGACCAGGTGGCGGCGGCGAGCTGGGCAGGCCCGGGAAGAGACCCCTCGGGAGCAGCCCAAGGGGACCGGCGGGGGGTCGGGCCGCCCCCACGCGCACCTCTCTGCCCCCGCCCCCCAATCCTGCCGGGCCGAGGTCCCCGGGGCCCCTGCGTCGTGCGTGGTGCCGGGAACTGGCGCTGCTCCCCTGCCATTACGCCTGGGGGTGCGCTCTCTAGGAGGACACGCTGGTGCCTCGAAGGCCCGATGGCACCCCATTATTTTCAGGGTAACGAGTCTGTGGCGATGTTCAGGGCGTCTCCGGGGTGCGGGACCTGGCGTGTGGGGGCTGCCAGGCCGGGGGCGGGCGGCCGCTGTGCGCTGCCCGGAGCGAGCGCTGCAGACCCGGCCCCGGAGGCACGTGTTTGGGGGGCGTTTCCAGAAACCCCGAAACTATACACCGCCCACGGAGGGCGAGGCGGTTAATTTAAAGAAGTCTGGTCTTTTATTTGCTACAAATCAACTCAGCTGTTTTCTGTTATCTAGTCTTCGCGCAGATTCGCTGTTTCACTCTGTGAATATCGCTAACGTTTTTTCATGTGTAATTGTTTCCGTACTTTCATAATTCCGTTATCACAACACGTGATCGATGTACTTTCGAAAAGCATCGAGCGCGGCCGTCTCAAACTACAGGAAGTGTGAAGATTAGTTCACGGTTCAAAGTCAGACCCCCCCACCCCATCCTCATCCTGTGCTCCTCTCAACCTCAGATGAGCCCCGGGGGAGCTCACTCTTTACTTGAGTGACTTTGTCTACAGCTTCGCTCCTTTTTTCCCCGTTCCGTTTTCAGCGCTTCACCCTGAGAAGTGACCCCAGCTCTGTGGCTGCCGCTTCTGGGTGCCTGTTTTATTTGTACCTGAGCCATGGCTGCGTGGGCTGTGCCCCCGGGAAGTGCGGGTGCAATCTGGCATCATTTCCTCTGTCCTGCCTTCAGGCTGGTTCTGAGCAGCTCCCTGTATTGGGAGCGCTGGTGCCCTGTGGCAAAGCCTGGCTGGTGATGCCTGCAGGGCCACTTTTAAGAACTGAAAAGGTGTTTCTCCAGAGAGCCCTATCTTGCATGGAATTTGGGTGTGTCAGGACAGGTTGGTCATGTGACTTCAGGGGACTTTCCTCCTTGTCCTACCTCCTGAAGCTTCAGGGCCAGGAGATTCTATTCCAGGCTGTACCTTCTGGACTTAGCCCACCGCCCTGCCTAACTTAGGGGGTGCAGAGCAGACGCCTTGTCCTGTGTTGCTGCAGTGCAGCCGCTGGGCCTGGGGTTCTCAGCACCCCCTTCCAGAGCTGGCTGTGGGGGTTACTGTCTGTGGGCTTCCTGGAGACCCTCCCAGGCCCCTCCCTCTGGGGGTCGCCTTGCCCAGAGGAGCACTTCCGGTTGGTGGCACATTGTCACTCACTGAAGTCCTCAGCTTCCTTCAGGACCTCCAGGGTTTCCTCACTGGGGCCTTTTGGGGGTCAGCAAATGCCAGTGGTTCCCAGGTGGCAATGGGTGTCTTTAGGGGTTTCCTAGGCAGGAGTAAAGGGGTTGGGAAGGACTTTTCAGCCTAAGGGGCTGGTGGAAGGGTCCAAAGGGACAGCAGACCGGAGGGGACGCTGGTGCCAGGAGGGAGACCCCCAGCTGGGTGAGACCCTGGGGTGAGGGCATTCCCGGGAGGTGGGCTGTGAGTGGGAAATGGGGATCCCTTGGTCATCTGCAAGGGAGAGGCCGGAAAGGGACTTGGATACTCACATCTGGTGTAAAATGTACTGGGGCGCCATAAAATGCTCAGGAAACAAGATAAATCATACTTTGATGCAGTACCTTTTAAAAATAAAAAATTTATACAAAAAAAAGCATGATGAAAAAATAGAAACATTTTAAGTAAAGACAGGACGTGACCCTGCACTTGGTCTGACCCTGCTCACTTGCTTCACACCCTGGTGGCCCATCCCTTACTCCAAAAAATTTTATGCACAAAAGCCAGCGGCAGTTTTCCGATTAGATTTTGTAAAAAATTTTGCTTAGTATTCATCTTGATTGCTCTGATTTGTTGGGATTTTTTAGGCGGGGGCGTGCTCTTATTTTGCATCATATTGGGTCTGGAGGTCAGCGGATGCTGGAATGGAGTGCACAGTCAAGGGGGGGAGGTGCCAGAGTGCCAACAGCCGTGGCTGAGACACCCACTTGTTTCCAGGAAAATGACATTGAACTTCATTTCGTCGTCGTCTTGAAGGAATGAATTGAATCAAGAGACGGAAATTTGTGCAGCAGGAACAGCAGAAGTTGATTAGTGAAAGAAACATCACCAAAGGGTGGTAGATTAGGGAAAGGAAATCAGAATGAAGAGAAAACTCAACCAGTAGATGACAGTCGGGGTTTGTCATCAGTACTTAGCGTCACTTTCTGAATAGTAACTTGAGGTCCTCTAGAGGCGCTCAGCGGGACTGGGACCCAGTTGGCAAGGCTTCTCCTTCGTCACCTTCCCAGGCTGTTCTCCGGGAGTGCTGGATCCCGGAGTGCTGGACCCCAGACGTGGAGCGGGTTGACCCAGGAGAGGGACCTGCCCCGCCTGACATTGTGTGAAGGTTTTCATTTGTGAAATAAAAGGGGCTGAATTGCCTCCGCCTCCCTGCTCCTGTCTCTCTTTGTCCCCCTGAGGTGCCCAGTCCTCTGGCGGTTAGCAATGCATTTCTGTGATTTAGGGGCATGTGTAAACATATCGCCTTGGTTTGGGGTTGGTGTAACACATGCCTTTGGGGGGGAGTGTGAAAAGCTGGAATCCTGTTGGGCTACTGAGGTATTGCTGACAAACAGGATGTGTCCCCCCCACCCCCCTTCTCTGAGTTTTGACAGCCCATCTCTCTGACTAGAGGTATGTGTGAGCCTGGAGTCCTGCTGGGCAGCTGCCAGGGGTCTTGACCCAAGTAGGAGCAGCTGCAAGGCGCTTCCTAATTCCCTCCTCCTCCTCATTTCTGTCTCCCTACCCACCAATCACCATGGGCCTCGCACACTCGCTGTCAGTCGGGGCGAGGAGTTGGAGCCCAGAGCTTCAAGCAGGAGAGCTGGAAGGACGGGGGCGCTGGGCAGAGAGAACGCTTGAGATGGCTACTCAGAGGAGGCTGGTGGGGCTGAGGCCCCGTGGCCGTGACAGGGAGGGTGACGCCTGACGGCTGGAGGACAGGGCACGAGCCCTTCATGGTTTCGTACTTGCAGGGGACCGAGGGCCGACCGAGGTGGTGAGCCCAGACTAGATGGAGGCAACAGCACCCGTTATGTCCTTGACCAGCTGCGTCCAGGAAGGAAAGTGCTTCCTCTTATGTCAGATGTGCTTTCCTATGTGAAGAGGTTTTTAATTTTTAAAGTTTCATTCTGAAATCACTTCAGACTGTCGACTGGCAAAAATAAGTCTCCACAAAGTCCACCAAAAGAACGGTTTATTTTTGCAAAGAGAAAGAAACACGGTCACCCCAGAAGTGTGCAAATGCAGACTTCCGACCAACGCTCCAAGCAGCCGTCAAAGTGAAAAAGAAAAGCCCAATTCTAAGATGGGTCTTCTATTTATTAGCATCCCGCCCCGGAAGTTACCCCAAGTTTAACAGGAAGTTAGGACTAGAGCATTAACAAGGGGCCCAGCTCCACCCATAGTCCTCCCAGCTCTATGGTTAAGCATCCTAAGATGCCAGTTCACTTTTATCACACCCCACTCTTGGTCAAGACCTTTTCTCTAAAAATCGTTGAGCAACAGCCAGGCCTTCTAGTGTCAGGTTTTAGTGTCCAGCCTTTTGTCCCTCAATGTCAAACGGGCCTCTTCTGGGTGTCACCTATTACGTCTGGGGAGGAGGGCATGGATTGGGAAACAGCTGGTGTCCAGTGTCGACCGGCATCAGAAGCAGAGCTTAAATAGATCAGAGTTAAAGGTTGAATTAGAACAACATAGCAACCTAGCTTACATCACAGGGGATAAATGCATAGGACGTCCTGTAATTATCTCAAAGGGTGAGAGTGGTAGATCTGAAATTTAACAGAAGCGTAGATGTGAAATATAAAGGGACTAATGGCAATGCTTTTGGCAAAGTATTTGAATAGTTTGTGTAAATCTTGCCAGTTGGGTCTTAATAATGCCATTAGTGCGTTCAGCCAATCCAGGCACAGTGAAAATGTTGTTGGATTGGCCAAACAGCACAGACTTGCTTTAGTACCTGACCAGTGAAATGGGTTCCTCGATCACTGTGGAGTTCAAGAGGAGTTCCCCAAGTGGGAAAATCTTCTCTAACAGCACTTTGGCCACTGCTTGTGCATTAGCCTGTCTGCAAGGGACAGCTTCAGTCCAGTGAGAAAACATGCATATTGTGACTAAAACATACTTGTATCCATGAGACGGGGGAAGCTGTATGAAGTGTAGGTGTCAGACCTCAAATGGAGGTAAGAAAACCATGTTGTTTCCATAGCAATCCAAAGTCATGGGCCACTGCAAGGGCGTATCCGCTGTCAGTATAAATGTTGACAGCTTTACCTTTTGCTAAAATGCAAGCTCAGGTGAGGGCATACAATTCAGCCTGCTGTGCTGAAATGGCCAGAGGTAAAGGTGCTGCCTCGATGACTTCAGAAGGGGTTACGACAGCATAACCAGCACAGTACTCACCATTGTTTTTTAAGTACGAACCATCGGGAAACCATGAGAAATCAGTTTATTGAAATGAGTTTTCTGCAAATCGTCACGAGGAGTCAGAGGGTGATCTGCTAATGTCGGGCAGCCATGAGGGGCTTCCTCCGTCTCAGTAGGAAGAAAATCCAGCATGATACTTCGCGAAGAAGTCTCTGCCTAATAAATGGGTCGGGGCAGAAGAACTAAGGAGAAAACAATGTTAATGTTCATCTCTTAAGGGACCCAGACAAAAGGGAATAGGTTCAGATAGATAAACCTGTTTCTCCAAGA